TTTTTTGCTTTGCCATTCTGGCCGCCCTGGTTTTTGTTTGTTTGTTTGTTTTTTGCTTGGGGCAGCCAAAAAGTCAGAGCCAGCCCTGAATGAGACAAAACGGAACACTATGCCGGGCAGGGGCTGGATGGGGAGGCAAGCCATGGCGCAGCAGCTGAAAATGGCTGAGATTTAGCGTATAATAATAATAATGAAGGTAACACTCCGCACTGAGGCTTTAGTGGCTCATTTTAAAATGAGCTCCTGTATTTTTAACTGCTTCACACAAACACATGTTAATCACTCTCAAATGGGATGTAAAGCTTTTCAGTATTTTTCGTCACTCTTCTGTACAAACTAATAAGCATGGTGAAGAATACTAATCCTGATTAAACATGGGACACAGTGCCAAGAACACTGATTTTACTGCTACTTTCCAACTTCACCCTGTGCCTCCCAACTACAATAATGAGATCGGCAGGATGTGCTATGTTGTAAGTTATGTTCTTACGTGTAAGGCTTCCTCTGATCCCAAAACCTTTGCATAGAGCTCGCAGATCCTCTTCTTCCTATGGGAGAAATGCAACAAAGATTTAAACACAAGAAAGAAAATAATCTACTGCTGCTATGTTCTTACTTTGAGAGAACAAAGATTATTCTGTGTCTAAGTTGGAGGTTTCAGCTCTTTTGGTTTTATTCTGATTACTGAGAGTTTGGAGGCCGGGAGTTGTACTTCAGAAATGAGTCAATAAACTTGATCAATGTACTGACATGCTCTGTTTTATATGAGCTAACTTTACAAGCAGTTTTGCAAATCACTCCCTAAGACACTGATCTCTATCATCTCAAATTCGTATATTATCCAAAAGTCATTTAATCTGCCAGAGAAAGAGAGAAGTGAGGTTTTGTACTTTTGTCTCCTGGCTGACTGCAGATGCTGAATTTTGATGAGGGAAACAGACACTGCTGCTTGTGATCTCAGGGAACCAGTATGAATTTTAAAAATCCCTCTTTCCTTTTCACTTCTGTATTTGTATGGGCCTGTACTTCCTTCAGTAACAAAGCAATAGCAATGGAATCTGTTCCCACTTCCCAGTCATTTTCTGGCCCTTGTTGTCTAGTGCTAGACATATCCCATCATTTCCCAAAAGGAAAAAGATCAGAATGAGACAAGCGCACCAGTTAAGAACCGAAAAAGAAAAACAGACCCATGCTCAGTCCATTTTGGATGCAAATCCTGTCCCATTCATAGAAGAAATGTAGGGCCCCAGACACAGCAGAAATACAGGAGGGCAGAGTATATAAGGAATCTACACAAGTGGACCACATCCCCCATGTATTAGGGAGCCCAGGTTTGTGGTGGTTCGGCAACTTCCCTGTGCAGCAGGTTTCAGGGGTGCTGCAGCAGTGGGCTAGGGAAAAGTGGAGAGAGAGGATGCCCCACTATGCAGCTCCAAAGCCTATTCCACACTGCATAATGTGGAGGCTACTACACATCCAGAGTAACAGCAGCAGCCATGGAGTGACTGGGCCGTTGGTCTGTGCCCAGAGGAGGATTTCTTTCCCCCTTCACCTTCGCAGGACCCCGCCGTGCCAAGCCCAGCTACCTGGGCTTCTGACAGGGAGGAAAGATTTGGTCCTTTGTTATATTTCCTCTCCTTTCTGCCCGTTGAGGAATCATCTGTTCTGGAAGCAGAAATGCTTAATGTGACAGACTGCGAGAGTCACTGTTCTCACAGGATTTTCAGAGTTGGGTTCAGGTAAGTGCATGGGGTTTCTGGAGACTTGCTGGATCTGTGCCCATTACGGGGTGTGTGTGTGTGTGTGTCACACACTGACTGTGCTGATACAGTTTAATATTGTGCTGTCACATACCGTGAGCCAAAACACAAGCTCTTTCAAACCCTCGTCAATTCAATTCCACAGACATGCCAAGCAGCCCTAAGTAACACTAGGGGGAGCTCAGAGAGCTGCAAAAACTCAATGTGGGAGTCACACTGCAGTCAACAGGGAAAGGGAGCCAGTGACAATGATTAGAAGAATACCTCTTTGCTAGCTCTTTCTTTATCCGCCCTAAAGAAAGTCCCTTCTATCCATCTCAGACAAAGGCCCAGCTTGGGTGCTCTAGCAAGGCAATTCACAGAAAAGTGCCAGCGGACGCTGCATTCTTCCACTGGAGGCTGGGTTTCCAACCTTGCAAAAACAGCAGGGGGTCAGCCCTGAAAGCCCGGGGTTCTCAGGAATCTCCAAAAGCCACAGGCCACTGGACCACGCCTAGGACACTCTGCTCCCTCCCCAGCTCTCTAACACCACAGTCCATTGGAGCCATATGGCCATTGACAGCTCACCCTACAGATGTTCCTGAACTCATCCTGGATGGCTCTATAAAACAGAGGAGCTCCACAGAAAAGTAAATACAACCTCAGGCTGTATTAACTGTCCTGACTGTTCCTCACAAAATTATGGCAGGAATAATTAGCCTCCCTCCTAACCCAGCCCTGGTCTGCCCTCTTCCCCGATGTCCATCAAGAACCTCCAGAGATCCCATTGCAGGGTCCTAGGAAGGTGAATTGTGTAGCAGAGGTAACCAACTTCGCTGCGGGCAGGTGGAGGTCCTTGTGGGACGAGAGCAATTTGGCTCAGAGAAGCTGTAAGCTCCACTATTTGCCAACTAAATTGCAAAGACAAAATGACTTTGCAAAAGCAAAAGTAAATATTAACCTGAAAATGGCATTTTCAGACAGCCAAGCAAATAAATGCATAGGGCATTATATAGCTTTAATTCTCAGAAGGGTTGAATGACAACATTTTATTGAAGAGATTTATCTGAGCGGTCCCCACAACAAGGGTGAATCTTTGCAGATGTGCCTGCTGCTCACACAGCTGTGCCTTTTGCCCTGGAACGGTTTAGTATTTTATTTAAATGGCCTATTGCTAATACTCTATCCAGAGCATATCATACATCTACATGCGCTGTAGGCAAAATCCTCATCTGCAGTCCCTGTGCTCAATCATGGTTTCCGACAAGCCTTGAGCAAAGGGAACGTGTTGCTGCATTGCTTCAGTAGCAGCCAAGGAAGCACATTGTGACTCTAAGCGTCCTCCTGGATTCCCTCTGCTCTGTGGAGGAAGTACCTGGTGCAGGGTACTTCCCCAGTGCACTGCGTAGCTCTGCTAGCCAGCGGGTATTGTATTGCCCCTGTTCCACTGCGCAAGAGATGGGGGTGGCGCTGTCACAGCCAATGGAAGCTGTTCTCCTCCCTGCACTAATACTCAGTCTGGGCAGCTGGCACAAGGGAGCACCAGATGCCCCATTGAGTGGCTGTGCAAGCTGGGCCACAATCTAACCCATTGTCATTAGTGATTGGTCTCTGTCTAGGGGAATCTCGGGTAGTAGGTGGAGGTGGGTTTCACTCCCACAACAGGTGGGCAGGCTGCAGCACTGTGACTCCTGTTCCAGCCAATGGGGTAGTGTAGTGGCCATAGCCCCTACATGCAACCCCTGGAACACGGTTTCTGGATCCTTGGAAACCCAGTCCCAACATCAGTGACTCAGTGTATCTGCCCCACTAGCTTATAGTTGGGTGTGGAGACGCCTCCTGGCCAGCCACTCAGTCTGCCCCTTTTCCCTGTGTAGAACTAAAGTGAGGCTTAAATTGTGTGCATGGGATGGATTTCTCGTTGTAAATAATATACTACATTAAGCACAGTGTATGTCAGAACCATTCTTTACCGCTGAGAGTCATCGATAGTTTAATGTTCACTCCGAAAATATTCTAAGTCCCATTGTATAAAAATTAATCTCAGAGTCAGATGAACATGTTAATGCTTTTGACACTGATTGATAAATTGGTCTGTCTTTTATGACACCCCTATAAATAACAAAGGTGTCCTTTTATTGCACAGAAACATAAGCTGTTCTCAAGTGCTGCAAATGTTTGATTGCATTTAATATGCTGACACGCAGTGAAACGTGGCATTTGGTGTTAATGATAGCCTGAAATGCTGAACACAATGGACTTCAAGCTTGCCCAGCTTTTATTGTGACAATCACCTCTTGTAGTTCCAGCCCGAAGCTTAAATGCAGATGGAGAATATCTGGTCTATTCCTGAAAAACGAAAGAGGCTCGGTGGACCAGTGCTGCTGCTCTAAGAGCTGGTGGAGTAATGCTCCACATGATCCCACTTTACAAAAGCTGCGAGAGCTCACATATCGCTGATTTGAGGACACCAATATCGTCTCTAATTGGGCTGACCATTACTGTTAAAATGTGTACTTGAACATAGAGCATCCCACGTTTTTAATTTTGAAAATACCCTGTCCACATTTAAATAAAGGTCTCCCCCCCAACCCTGCCATATAACTTTAGCTTTGTTGATTAGTCCAATGAAATGCTGGGAATATTTTTGAGGGCAAAACTCTACTACCCTTTAAAACCCATTTTTATTTATTTTTAAACAATAGCAGGGAGGAGACTGATATAACAAGATAGTGGACTAGATCTTCAAGTGTGTTGAGCTCTGCCTGGCACACCTGAAGACACAGGGTCAAAGGTAGCTTTCTGTCACCTTTCTACCCCCTAATCCTTAGGGCTGGTTCATCCTATAACAAACTGGAGCAGCTTCAAGGCTGTGCTAACTTACAAAGGCTGAAATGGCCCTCTAGGGTCTGATCGAAGATCACTAGGGTGCTGAGCACTCTGGCTCAGCCCCTCCCACTTCTGGCACACTCTGAACACACCCACTCCACTGTGTGGGGACAGAGGAGCAGCAGTGGGGAGCATGGAGCTGGCTATTCTGGCTTTATGCTACCCAGGCACTCCCAAATACAAGAGGAATCCCCAGTTGCCCACTAAGTGAAGCTTTCTGGCTGCTTTCCACTGCCCGAACAGCTCAAAGCAGTCAAATGGGAGCTTGAGGACTTGGCTTTACAAAGGACAGGTAGACGCTGCCATGCTTACTGCCATTTTGGATAAAGGCTTCACATGGCTCCTAAGGGAACAAAATTTAAGTGTTGCACTTTTGAAGTGACAGCACTGCGAACTGTGCTTAGTTAATAGCCAACGTCCCTGTAATTATTGCATGCAGGAAATGTTTTGTCTGATATATGAAGAGAGAGAGAGAGAGAGAGAGACAGAATCTCTGAGAATTTAAAACAAAAACTTAAATTAGATCCTGTGTAAAACTATGGCACTTTGTTCTTACCTTTCTTCCTTTGTGAGATGTGTCAGTCTTCTACACTTTCGAGCGAGAATAAAACTGAAAAAAGAAAACCACAAACACAAAAAAGGAATGTTGGCATCCATTATATATACAGTGCCCTTTAAAATGCTATCAGTTGGTGGCTTGATGATGCCAGCTTCTAACATTTGTCTCTTATCTTTAGGTCTTTAGTCTTTAGCTGGTGGCCACTTTCCAACCCTTTCAATTCTTACTGAGAAATGTGGCTATAAACTTTTCTTCAGTTCTGCAGGATTTAAGCTCAGCTTTCAGAAAGTTTCTAAAGGTCAAATCTTTATCTCAGGCTGTCTGCTGGAGAAATTTACTAGGGCTACAGTAACGGAAAAAGAGGAAACATCCTTCCCCATGCAGCAGAGGGGAAAGTAACCACAGGGCAACAGTAGCCACTGCATCTTGTGCACTCTTCCTCCTGTGGGGAAGGTGTGGGGGACAGATTGGCTGGTGGATCTATGAAGTCACCTTTCTCCAGGCCAAGGCTTGATTTGTGCCGGGGCTTGCAAGGGCAGAGCCCTGGCACCTGTAGCTTGGCAGTTCATAGCCCCAGAACCTCTGGGCTTTCTGCAACAGTTATGAATGTAAAAACATTGCTTGAGCCCCCAGCACCTAACTGGTTGAGCCCCGGCACCTCTTTCATTATAAATTAAGCACAGCTCCAGGCTCATCCCCAAACACCTCCTCCACAGGTGTGTGCCATGGCATTGGCGATGTACAGACCTCTTGCTTTGGTCCCTGCATGCAGGGAACCACACTCTGGTCAGGGTCAGAAGATCCATAGGAGCTGTTTCATGGCATAGTAAATCCGCTCATGACAGCTGTAGGATTTGATATAGTAATAGCAAATTACAAAGGCTAGTTTGGAATTAGGTGGTATGGCTCAATAGCCTTATATAAGGAAATGTTGCATTTCATTTTTGATTATTGGGGGCAGGGAGGAAAAACACATTTATTGGAAAGAAATCCCTTTTAATAGGGTTGGCTGAAAATTTTCATTAAAAAAAACAGGGGAGGGAGGGATTGTAGAAAATTTTAGGTTTTTTTTTTTTTTAAATGTTTGATTTTGGAGGATTTCCTCCGGACACCACCAACTCGCTTTAAATTTTTTCCTCCTCTCTCTCCCCTTATCCTTTTCTTATTTTGACACTGGGTTGGCCAGGGACAAAAGGGAGAGGTAGGGAGGGAAACAGAAATAAAACAAACATCTTTTTCCAGTTTTTTCCACACCAAAAAAATTGAAAATTAAAAAAAAAAAAAATGAATTTTTTTTAAAGACAAAATTTGGGGAGCAAAATACTGAATATATTTTGTGAAATAAAATAATTCACCACTTTTCGAACAGCTATACTTTTTTGTTAATATTTTCAGATATTTTCCCCCAATGGTAGGTTTCCGTGTCTCCTCAAACCCCAGGCCCACAAAAATTAATGGACAATCGTCCCTCTTCTCTTTTACCCCATTATGGCAGGAACACTGCAATTGGGTTTGGTATCATCAAGTGTCATTCCAATCACAGCTTCCTCATCTTCAATGAGCATGGTACCACAGTAGTCTAGAAACCAGAGAGGAGAAAAAAATGGATTTTATTAATCCAGGTAATTTGGAGAACTATGACAGAGAAGGAGGTGAAACCACCAGTGTGGTGTGACAAAGAATATGACACCACTCTCTTGCTCCATGGAATTGTTCTGCCAGAGATTGTGTGCCCTGTTCCTCGGGCTCTGGGAAGTACTATTTTCTACCTAGGTGAGATATTTTAGATATGGGATCCTGAGACTCTTAGCAACCTGTTCCAGGCATCCTTAAAAAGCAGGGACAACATAAGGATATTCATATAATTGAATTTATGACCAAAAAGATGGTGTTATAACCGACATGACAGGGGTACCAATTAATTGCACAGAAACACACTGTTCTTGAGTATTGCCGGTGTTTAACATTTTGGCAAGCACACTAGGTTTTTATGACAGGCATATGCCGGATACAAAAGATTTCAGGATGCTTGTACTAAATGTTCTGGAAATACAGAGTACAATTGTTATTAAAAACATGGCTCTGAAAGCACCAGTTTTTCCAGAGCACTCTGGACATCTTTACAGTCATCTGTTGCAAATCTACCCAAAAGCTTAAAGGCAAACAAAGACTGTATGGTGTACTCCTGCAAGAATTAAAGAGGCACTGTGTTCAGTGATGTCACTTTAAACAGTTTGGGAAATATTTCAACTTCCGCACTCCTAGGATCTCTAGCTGGCCAAGACATATGGCTATACGTTTTTAGCTACAAACTATTCTCAAGACAAAATTGTCGCAGTCATGCAGTATATGGCATAAAATCGCTCTCCATTACGCCCCAACTCCACCATTATGTTTAGGTAACTAATGGCAGAGACATGTCTCATTTCAAGATGTCACTGAAGAAAAATGGGGGACGGGGGTAAGGAGAACAACAAGAAACAAGAGTTAGTGTATCCCAACTTCTTCCCTCATGTCCTATATTCTCTCTCTCTCTCTCTCCCCCTCCCCCCTCTTTTTAGGACTCTCAGAGAAGTAGCTGAAAAGAGATGAAATCCCCTTTAATGTGGACTCTTGTATTAGCATAATATAATACAAAAGAAAACCCCCAATTAAAATGTAATACCCTTTTTCCTCCAGAAAGGTTCTTTGTAGTATACCATGCACTTGATGACTGAGCCCATGGGAACCCGGCTGATCAGCTGGTTTCTCATTGGTGGTAATGGTGGGTTGAAATGAATCTTCAAATCAAGAACTGGGGGAATGGCACTAATAACATACTTGGCCTGGAAAAGAAATAGTACATAAACGAAATACATTATCCAGTATTTGAGCCTCTCTCTATTACAGCTGGGGAAGCTTTAGAGTATGTATGCTGACGGTAATATCTTCCAAAGCAAAGAAAGTTTGGCCCATAGCATGCAAGTTACAAAATAGACCTCTCAGGATGTCTTGGTTGTGGAAACTGTAAAATGACAACAAGTACTGTATAAATGACCATCCAATTGGGCAATTATTCTTTTCTAACTGGTCAGAAGACTATTCCTCTTACAAAAGGGTCACTTGGCTCCTTTTTGATTGACCTTTCATTTTGTGGCTTGGAAGCTAACTCTGAAATGTTTCTGGAGAATGTTTCTCTTGCACTAAATTTCTATTATCATCCCTGGAAATATTCTTTTATTCTGAAGCTAACTGAATGCAAAGGAGCAGAAATAGTAAAGGAATGACACAAATACACATTATAGAATTCTCTGCTTCTCCAGTGCCCATCCCAAGCTGTGTCACTGGTATTACTTAGGGAATAGCAGAAAATGTGACTCCTGGTTATTGTGGCTCTCTTCTTTGTTACACTGTGCCTCTGTATTACAGGCTTATTGAGAAGACGAATGGAGCAATTAAAGATTTAAAAACATACCCCTACAAATATTTGCTCTAGTGTAAGGTATTGAATTACCTCGTATGATTCATGGTCTAAGGTCTCCACAATGACATTTTCACCTGACTGATCAATGCGGACTACAGGTTTCTCTAGCTTCACTCGGCCTCCCAAGCGTTCCATTATCTTCTCACTAATCTGACCAGAACCTCCAACAAACTTCCTCTCCTGGAAGAGAAAAAGAGACAGTTCAACAATGTGAGATGGACAAACTTGGTTTGGATAAAATAAGAATCATACAGAACTTTTGTTCTCAACACTCAAAATAAACCCAACTCCTTTCTGACCTTTTGGAAAGTTAGGTGACTTAATTTGGAAAGCGTATTCCTAGTATTTTTTACCCTTTTGAGAGCAGAGACCTCTGAGCTTGCTGGGTCTGTTCACCAATGGGACCAAAAGTGCCAGAAATCTCATGAGAAAGCTGTTCTCATGTGACTTCCAAACCAATTCTGGAGATCCCAGAGGCTCAGCTAAGGTTTGGATAAGCATTCAAACTTGTGAATGCTGAAGCTGAAGTCAGTCTCATCCTTTTTGGAGGTCTGCCCACCAGTAATAGTAACAATGATTGCCATAATTATACATAAACAGGCTATAAAAAGCAAATAGCAGGGTCCTGAAATCTGCCAGTAGTATTAATTATAACTAGAAATTTTTTAAAAACCCTCTCTCACACCTATCAGAGGTGAGCCAAATAGGTTCATTTCAATATAGTAGAGTGCAATTAAACGTACATTCATTTCGTGCAAGAACATTAGCCGATTCTTCCTTTTCTTCATGTGTGTTACTTGCATTAAATACACTTCACACACATTTTAGGGTTATATAATACATAAATACAGGCATTTATCTTCATCAGATTGCTCTGATAGCCTTATGAACTACAAACATTGGAAAGATTTGATTTTAGTTACCCAGCTATTGGTGGTTGTGTTTCAAATATTAGTCTGTATCTATCTAGGCACTTTTGCAGTTCCCATCACCTTACACTACTTAAGTACCTCTCATATATTTAGCCTGTGAGGACAGGAAGTATTACTAATATTCTCATTTTTCAGAGGATGAACTAAGCGAAAGGGGGTGATCTGCCCAAAGTTAGAGTCAGGAATTGAACCCAAATCTCCTGATCCCCACTCCAGTGCCTGAACCACAAGAATGGCCTTCCACATTGATACAACCTGAACCCTATTAATACTGAAATCAAGGGTACCTATTGTCTCTATGTAAAGTAAAAACTATGGGAGTTTGGCTGCCCTGTTAATGCAGCAGTGAACAGTGTCTACATGCTTCTTGTCCTTCCTTTTAAAAACAAACAAAATAAACAAGTTTAAAGGGCTTCTGCCAAGAAATGTGCTGTGTTCTTCGGCTTACTGTACCTGCCCACCGTTGGTGGTGGAGAATATCCTGCCTGTCCCCCCACACTGCTTCACGTACCACAGGAACCAGAGAGCAGAGACCTCGTGAGGCTCAGAGGTGACATCCACATTCACAAACAGCGTTGCAAACCTCTTGCTAGCACTGCACATGGGATCAAAGTAAAGAGAGTATGTTACTATAAAAGCAGTGAGATGATATCCATCGCCTAGTCCTGTTCTCTAGCAACAGCGAAAGAAAGGAGCCTCGCAATCCTCCTCTGCCAGTGATATTAACACTATTTTCTTCTGTTAACATCTGGAGACAATTGTCAGTCATTCAAGATTCTGGGAACAATGGAGCAAGGCCAGACAGCTCTAATGGGCTTTAAAGCTCTGCATGTCAGCTACCTACTCCTCCAATCCCGCCCACCCGTGTCACCCATGAGACCTGCAGTCCTTTCTGTTGCTGACTGTACCTGTCTCCCCACTCCTTCAGCCAGCCACAGTCTCCTCCGCTGTATAAGCTCCGGAACCCTTCAGGAATAGAGGAGTTTATGAGGACAGTAAAGCTCAGTAGAGACTGTGAGAGAAGGTCCAGGTGGGTGGTGATCATTCTCATCCTTGTTCTGTCCACATTTTGGATGGATTGCCACCCAGCTGCCTCCTACGCTGTCCTTTTCAGAGAAGCAGCATGCAGGAAATCAGTCAGAATTCCCCTTTATGGGGACACACAGAACAAAGAAACAGCCTGGGGGGAGTTGGGAAAAAAGCAGAATGGCGAAAAGGCCTTGAGCAGATTTATGAGGCAGATTGACAATAAAGGAGAAATCGTGATGTCATTTGCACAGCCATGTAACTATGTTGTGCATCGGACCCTGGGCATGTGCAATGGCCTCTGCTGATGAGCATACATGTAGAAAAGTGTCACAACTAAAAGTGGGCTGGGTCTGAAGTTTGATCAGTTTTCTCTCTTACTGTTTGTGCTTTGATTTAAGAGATGACAAATCTACTGAGAATTATTAGAGATGAAAGATCTGTACAAGGTTTCAGGTTGGGTTAAAAGATGTGTGAATACAGGCAGAAGTAAACATTCTTTCACTGAACTTCAGTTACTCCCTCTATCCTCACATTGCACATTTGTATAGGTGTATTAAAGACATGGGAAGGAAGTACCATGTCTTCCAAGCAGAAGATGCTCATTTTAGCTGTGTAACACCACATGGGTCTCTGCGGTTACTGCTTTTGTCAACTGCCACCCAGAAAATAACCTCCAAAGCCAGTAAAAAATCCTGGTTTTAAACTATTTTCTCTTTTGTTTAGTCAAACATTTTTTAAAGCAAAAAGGCTTTTAAAAAATAAAAGCATTTAAGCATGTTTAAATTCAATTCTTCACAGAAACAGCATCTTCATCTGCTTAATGAACAGACATTTCCACTGAAGCAAAAGGCTAAGAATGGAGTTGCCCTCCAGGGAGGCTTGACCTTTGATCTGCTTTTATGACTGTCCTTGACAGCCCGGGGAATATTTGTATATGGGCAACCGCTGCAATAGCAACACTACAGTTTGAGATGCAGGATCATTTGCATGTTTTGACCACCATATTTCAGCATCTTAACTGGGTGCCCAGCGCTCGCCAATAAAGTAAGCAATAAAAGAAGTAATCCTGTAGGGACTAGTGGGGGATTTTTTTAGTGCTATGTGATATTTTAAGCTACTGATTAGATACTTGTCCATGATATAGCCATGTCATTGAGAAGAGAGCCATTTCTGGAGGCAGCAATTCAACAAAGATGAAACCCGGCATTTCAGTTTAGTAGAAAGATTCCTTGTGCCAGTGTTGTTATAATCCTTTGTTATAATCAGTTACTAGATACCTTTGAGAAGATTAGGTGTAAACTGGGAGTGGTGGGCTCTGAAGCTCTTTGAAGTAGTGATTGATCATCCCTGCTAATGTGATACTACCACATGTGCATGTTTAGTGGCTTCATGCTATTTCCTCTGGTAGCCACTGAGAAATTGCATGCAATCTGTGCCTATAAAGATTCTACCTCTCTTCCTTTAGAGCCATAAAAAGGTTCTGATGAAACAGGCATTTATTCAGTTCTTATTTACATATATTGTAAATATGATCAGCTCTGAAAGAGGTTTTATTATATCTAGTGGAGGAATAAATACATGTATTTTAATATTTTAGACATATACTTTTAGGCAATGATCTAATTTTTCCATAATATTTTGCCACTTTGCCATTATTTTTGGTATTTCAGCACCACAATTTCATCTAATATTTCACATGGAAATGGCTGTTTGGTTTCAATCATTAGCACACAATGCTATTTCAGCATGAAATGCCAAACTAAAGCAAATCTGCACAATCTGTCAGACAAAAGGAAAGAATGGAGGATTACCCTTCTGGACCATTGCATTCTAGGGATACGAAAACTGCTATGGCATGTAACCTAACTTTTGATTGCACATGGCAGATCAAGTTTAGATACACATATGAAATCTGAAAAGCATCTTGGAATTAAGACAGGCTGACAATTATGTCAAAATTCAGGTAAAATGTCAAGTCAAATTCCATCACAGATTAGAAAGATGTGACTCTCCTTGCCTGGTGCTGTACGATATTGTGCAAGATTGTACAGGGTCTCATTTCCAATTTAAGAGGTTGGATCACCTATAACTATGTATATCAAAGATGGCTGAGCTACACCATGCATTAACAAACACTATGCTGAAGTTACCTACCAAACATTTTGAAAATGCACATTGTCCAATTCAAGTAACATTTCATTCATTCTTATTCTGTTTCAGTTGTCATGGATGATGATACCAATGAGAAACTCTCTGAAGGCCTTTATGCCATAGTATACTCTACTGGATACCTGAATGCTTTTCTTACAGACAGTACATACACACTTAAGTCAGTAGCATTTACTATTGTTGCTCAAACTTGTTCCCCATAGAATTTGTCTAAAATGGTTTATTCCCAGGGATCTTCCCCTTCGGGACTTCCTTCGGCAAGGTCTATGGATAACTGATTGCAGTACAGTTAGACGCCTTAGGATTTTGTTATTTATGTTACATTTCCAAAGGCACAAATAAAGGCAAAAACCATAGGAAGGTTTTGGACAAGAGCCTGTTGCAACTGTATTGTGTGGAAGACTAGGGTAGGAATTCCACCCATTCACACTCCTGGTCTACACTATGAGTTTAATTCGAATTTAGCAGCGTTAAATCGAATTAACCCTGCACCCGTCCACACAATGAAGCCATTTATTTCGAAATAAAGGGCTCTTAAAATCGATTTCTGTACTCCTCCCCGACGAGCGGAGTAGCGCCAAAATCGATATTGTCATTTTGAATTAGGGTTAGTGTGGCCGCAATTCGATGGTATTGGCCTCCGGGAGCTATCCCACAGTGCACCATTGTGACCGCGCTGGACAGCAATCTGAACTCGGATGCACTGGCCACGTAGACAGGAAAAGCCCCGCGAACATTTGAATTTCATTTCCTGTTTGCCCAGCACAGGAGAGCACAGGTGACCACAGAGAGCTCATCAGCACAGGTAACCATGCAGGCCGATAATCAAAAAAGAGCACCAGCATGGACCGTACGGGAGGTACTGGATCTGATTGCTATATGGGGAGAGGATTCAGTGCTAGCAGAACTTCGTTCGAAAAGACGAAATGCCAAAACTTTTGAAAAAATCTCCAAGGGCATGATGGAGAGAGGCCACAATAGGGACTCAGAGCAGTGCCGCGTGAAAGTCAAGGAGCTCAGACAAGCCTATCAGAAAACAAAGGAGGCAAACGGTCGCTCCGGGTCAGAGCCGCAGACATGCCGCTTCTATGCTGAGCTGCATGCAATTCTAGGGGGGGCCGCCACCACTACCCCACCTCTGTCCGTGGATTCCGAGGCGGGGATAATCTCATCAGCCACACCTGAGGATTCTGCGGACGGGGAAGAGGAGGAGGAGGAGGAGGAGGAGGAGGATGAGCTTGCGGAGACCACACAGCACTCTGTTCTCCCCAACAGCCAGGATCTTTTTCTCAGCCTGACTGAAGTACCCTCTCAAGCCTCCCAAGCCAGTACCCAAGACCACGACCCCATGGAAGGGACCTCAGGTGAGTTTACCTTTTAAAATAGAAAATATGGTTTAAAAGCAAGCGTTTTTTAATGATTAATTTGCCCTGAGGACTTGGGATGCATTCGCGGCCAGTACAGCTACTGGAAAAGTCTGTTAATGTGTCTGGGGATGGAGCGGAAATCCTCCAGGGACATCTCCATGAAGCTCTCCTGGAGGTACTCCAAAAGCCTGTGCAGAAGGTTCCTGGGCAGTGCAGCCTTATTCCGTCCTCCATGGTAGGACACTTGACCACGCCATGCTAGTAGCAAGTAATCTGGTATCATTGCATGACAAAGCCTGGCAGCGTATGGTCCCAGTGTTTGCTGGCATTCAAGCAACATCCATTCTTTATCTCACTGTGTAATCCTCAGGAAAGTGATATCGCTCATGGTAACCTAGTTGAAATACGGGAATTTAATTAAGGGGACAGAGGTGGCCCTTCCTACTGGGCTGTTTGCCTGTGGCTGAAAAGAAATCCTTCCCTGTAGTAAGCCAAGCGCGGGGGGAGGGGGGTGGATTGGCACTAAGCTTTTCACGTGTGGCTAGCAGGGATCTTCCCTGATACCAGCCACCCAGTGGGGGGAGGGATAAAGCGATCATCCCAGAGAATTGGATGCGGGGGTTAGTTTGTTTTCTGCTTCTGAAGGTTAACAGGAAAACCGCAGCACTCAACAGGCTTTGCTTGGTATGTGGGAAAGGAGGACGCAGAAGCTGAAAGACAATGGCTTACCATGGCTGCATGCAAGCCGAATTCTGTTGCCCGGACCTGCATCTGTGATCTCTAGCAACAAAGCCACAGGCACTCAATATTAAGAGGCAAAATGTGACCTTGCACAGAAATCACATGTGCTATGTAATGTGAATAGTGTTGTTCACCATGAAAGAGTATAAGCATTGTTCTGTAAAATGTATCTTTTTAAAAAATTCTCTCCTTTTTTCCCTCCCTCCAGCAGCTGCAAATTTTTCAAGCCTCCCTCCTCCGTCCCGAAGGCTATCTCAGATAAGGCATCGGAAAAAGAGGACGCGAGACGAGATGTTCGCGGAAATCATGGAATCCACCCGCAATGAAAGAGCTCATCTGAATGAGTGGAAGGACACGGTTTCAAAGTATAGGAAAGATGCCAGTGAACGTGAGGACAGGAGGGACCAACGTAAGGACATGAGGGACCAACGTGAGGACAGAAGGGACCAACGTGAGGAGAGGAGAGACGCTCGAGATGAGAGGTGGCGGCAGGAAGATCAGAGGAGGCAGGATGCAACGCTGGGGCTGCTGCGTGAGCAAACAGACATGCTCCGGCGTCTGGTGGAGCTTCAGGAACGGCAGCAGGATCACAGACTGGTGCTACAACCCCTGTATAATCCCCCTCCCCCCTCACCATGTTCCATAGCTTACTCACCCAGACGTGTAAGAACGCGGGGGGGAGGCTCCGTGCACCCTCCCATTCCACCCCAGTGGACAGCCCAAGCAAAAGGCTGTCATTATTTTAACCTTTTTTTAGTGGCCTTTTCCTTCCCTCCGATCCTCCTCCCAAACCCCACCCGGGCTACCTTGTCAGTTCTCTCCCTCTTTTTATAATCAATTAATAAAGAATACATGATTTTTAAACGATAGTGACTTTATTTCCTTTGAAAGCAAGCTGTGATCAAAGGGAGAGGGTGGGTTGCCTACAGAGAATGAGTCAATAAAGGGGGCGGGTTTTCATCAAGGAGAAACAAACAGAACTTTCACACGGTAGCCTGGCCAGTCATGAAACTGGTTTTCAAAGCTTCTCTGATGCGCCGCGCTTCCTGGTGTGCTCTTCTAATCGCCCTGGTGTCTGGCTGCGCGTAATCAGCAGCCAGGCGATTTGCCTCAGCCTCCCACCCCTCCATAAACGTCTCCCCCTTACTCTCACAGAGATTGTGGAGCACATAGCAAGCAGCAATAACAATGGGGATATTGGTTTGGCTGAGGTCTGAGCGAGTCAGTAAAGTGCACCAGAGACCTTTTAAACAGCCAAATGCACATTCCACCACCATTCTGCACTTGCTCAGCCTGTAGTTGAACAGCTCCTGACTCCCGTCCAGGCTGCCTGTGTATGGCTTCATGAGCCATGGCATTAAGGGGTAGGCTGGGTCCCCAAGGATAACTATAGGCATTTCAACATCCCCAACGGTTATTTTCTGGTCCGGGAAGTAAGTCCCTTGCTGCAGCTGTTTAAACAGAGTAGTGTTCCTGAAGACGCGAGCGTCATGAACCCTTCCCGGCCAGCCCACGTTGATGTTGGTGAAATGTCCCCTGTGATCCACCAGTGCTTGCAGCACCATTGAAAAGTAACCCTTGCGGTTTATGCACTGGGTACCCTGGTGCGCCGGTGCCAAGATAGGGATATGGGTTCCATCTATCGCCCCACCACAGGTAGGGAATCCCATTGCAGCAAAGCCATCCACTATGGCCTGCACATTTCCCAGAGTCACTACCTTTCGTAGCAGCAGCTCAATGATTGCTTTGGCTACTTGCATGACAGCAGCCCCCACAGTAGATTTGCCCACTCCAAATTGATTCCCGACTGACCGGTAGCTGTCTAGCGTTGCAAGCTTCCACAGGGCTATCGCCACTCGCTTCTCAACTGTGAGGGCTGCTCTCACCTTGGTATTCTGGCGCTTCAGGGCAGGGAAAAGCAAGTCACAAAGTTCCATGAAAGTGCCCTTACGCATGCGAAAGTTTCGCAGCCACTGGGAATTGTCCCACACCTGCAACACTATGCGGTCCCACCAGTCTGTGCTTGTTTCCCGGGCCCAGAATTGGCGTTCCACGGATAAAACCTGCCCCATCAACAACATGATCTCCAAAGCGCCAGGACCCGCGGTTTGAGAGAATTCTGTGTCCATGTCCATGTCCTCATCACTCTCGTCGCCATGCTGCCATCGCCACCTCCTCCTTGCCTTGTTTTTCTGGTCCTGGTTCAGCATAAACTGCACAATAATGCGCGAGGTTTTACAATGTTCATGACTGCTGTCTTGAGCTGAGCGGGCTCCATGCTTCCCGTGGTATGGCGTTTGCTGTGTTCACCCAGGAAAAAAGGCGCGAAACAGTTGTCTGCCATTTCTTTCATGGAGGGAGGGGTGAGGCTGTACCCAGAACCACCTGCGACAATGTTTTTTGCCCCATCAGGCACTGGGATCTCAACCCAGAATTCCAATGGGCGGGGGAGACTGCGGGAACTATGGGATAGCTATGGGATAACTACCCACAGTGCAACGCTCCGGAAATCGACGCTAGCCCCGGTTGGACGCACACCACCGAATTAATGTGCTTAGTGTGGCTGCATACATTCGACTTTATACAATCTGTTTCCAAAATTCGAATTCTGTAAATTCGGATTAATCCCGTAGTGTAGACATACCCACAGTGAGCATGTGGCCACTAGTGGCTAGTTGAAGCTTAGAAAGAACATTAAGTGTCCATTTTATAGCTGAAAGGTAGCAAATCACTTCCTTTAGCTTAAGCAGGCACAGGTCTGTTTCTAGAGCTGTAGGCTCATCCTGGTTCTAGCTCCTGGGTGTAGTTTATTTAGTAATTCTGATAGTGTACTTCTAGAAATGGGTCTGCTTTAGAGCAGCACCAGGCTATAAATTTCTTATGTATGATGAAATCTAGTCAAACTGTTCTTGAGTTACAGGCGAAATAAAAATTAATGTGATGTATGCATAACAACAAGCAGTATTGTCAGTACCTCCGTGCTATATACGGTACAGTGGTAACAAAAGGGGCCACTTGGGTGTTCAGGTAATTCAGTCTCAGTCTCAGGACTGTATACTGAATTCTTATAGTGATTGTAGAAAATCAGCTGGCCTAACACTAAATAATTGAAGGCAATATCTCATCCAAAGTTCAGTACAGGAACCTGGCTACGCCAGAGCATATCTGTTTTATTGCCAAACATTCAGAACTTCCGAGTAAACCAATTACAAAATCAGAGTCTTGTTAAATCTCCTGTCATCTGACCTGGAAGCATTACACTAGACTCACCAAAAAGCAAAAGCAAATAATCTTTTTGTGCACAAAAACTATTTACAAGAACAACAGAAAAGCTACAAATTTGCCACCATGAAGCAATACCACTATGAAGATTCAAGTCTGTAATTGCTTTGTGCTGTTTGTTTGTTCTTAAAACTACAGTATCCCTAGATGCTATGCTGCCAGATTAAATTCCAGGATTTAAGGGTGCTGCTAGCTATCAATAGATATCTAAAAACTACATATCTGAACTTAACTGTCTCTGATTTCTGGAATGCCCAAGATACATACAACATAATTTCCAAGTTTAGTGTGTGAGGCAAGCAGATATTTTTCAGTTCGTCCAAACAGGCCTGATACAGAGACAGCTGAATCCAGTTATAAGCAGGTCATCAGCAAATTAAATAGAGTATATAACAAGCAGAGATGTTACCCATGGTTTCAATGCTAGCAAACATTACGTTTTCATCTGATCTTTATTTGAGTTAAAATAACGTATGGAAAATAATGGGATGCACTGTGTATTTGCTCAGTTATTATAGTTATCAAACCTGATCACCATTTAGAACCCTCTGCTCTTCTTCCCAGTGAAGTGAACTTTGAAGGTCATATTAATGAGGATAAGCCATGGACGTTCAAGCGTCAGTGTCAAGCCAAGGCAGTATTTGGATGGGACGCCTCCAGAGAAAAACATCAAGTGCTGCAAGAAGTGTTATTGGTGATTTGGTAGGTCTCTCTCTCTCTCTCTCTCTCTCTCTTTCTGAGTTAGCACTGATTCAATGCCCCATTATAATGTCAGTGAACACTGTATTTGTATTTGTCTTTTAGATTAAAATGTAAAACCAATATCCTGTTCATTTGTGGTCATTAAACCTCGTAGCGTATTTCTGCAAAAGTAGTGTTAGCTGTGGTCAAACTTCAATGGGGATAATTAGAATCTACCTACTCCAATTACCCCTGGCACTTTCAATGGGACATTGTATTCCTCACTTCCTGTACTTAGCTGTTCTGCACAGTTAGCCTGCAGCACTATCCAACTATAACCCCTCATACACTTCAATATTAAAGTGATTCTTACTTTGTCCAACAAACTTTGTCTATGAAATCTTGCATAGACATTTTGTCCCATTCTTCTGCATGTGGTGCCTTCCATGGGGCTTCATTAGGAATCTATGACAACATAAGAACAGCGAATATTCAGTAACAAAATTGCACACTGTGGATATGTCTTCACTACATACACTAGACTGGCACAGCTACATTGTGCAGCTATGCTGGCACAACCCCATAGGGTAGACTCAGCATACATGGACAGAAAGGATTTTTCTGTTTGTGCAGGAACACCACCTCCCTGAACCTGAACGGAAGCATTCTTCCATCAACACACTGATTTTTTTCAGGAATTGGCTTAATGGTATAAAGGACGGGACTAGAAAAGTGATCCAGAAATTATGCTTTCCCAGATTTATACCAATCATTTTTATTGGGACAAAAGGTTTTTTCTCAGCACTTACCTGAGCTTTCTATTCCAGATAAGCCTATTTCTATTTTAACTTTATAGGCAGAAATCTTACATACATTTTTAGTGAGAACACCTAGCACAAAATTCTGCTTTTCTGAAAAACACCAGCCCTTCTCCCTTTTACAATAGTAAACTTGTCTCTTAACACAGACTAATTTTTAACTGAGTCAACTGATTTCACATTAAAATTAGAAGATACAGACTGTGATTTAAGACTCTTTTTTAAAACAAACTGTTTAAAGAAAAGACATATTTGAATAATTTTCTCTGATCAGTATATATTTTTGCTATTTTTAGTATTATTTATTCTAAAAACACCGAGGGGGTTTTTAAAGGCAAGAGAGCAACTCTTATGGGTAGAAAAAATATCTGAGAAGAGAGTCAGTCTTAGAAGCCGAGTAATAGAAAATGTATTATGATTGAAACTGAATTAGTGCCTCCAAAATAACAATGCAAGACTACAGTTACAAGCTCACCTGCACTACAGAATTCTGTTAAATGTTCTTGCTGGAAATTTACACAAGTTCTAAACAGAAATAAAGTGGATTTAGCAGAAGATAAAAAAAATAGACTAAAATGTTGCCTAGTGAGGTAAAATGCTGTGCTGGAGCGAAGTGTGTAATTCTACAACTCCCCTGTTTATGTTTTGAAGCACCTGCACTTTCCTTTTTAAACACTCCTAGCTCAACAGTATAGTGAGAACCAGTGTACATCACCTTTAACACATATTTAGCTGGTCAAGTTAGTTAAAGCCTCTGGGGAAGGAGTTTAGCATATGTTAAAGGCAGTGTGCCTTGCCTACACTAGGCTATTAAGACATGTTAGTATGTGTCATTTAATATGTGCTAACATCACACCTTTGAATCCCATACAAGGGCTAACTGCATTGGATAACTGAGCCTCTACACACCTCCTTTCCCATTTCATCCATCGTCCTCCATAGATTGTTGAAATCTAAGATGACAAAAGGGTTCCACATAGTAGGAAATGCACCCTTAAAGGGATAACTTTTACCCTAAAAGAAAAAAAAAGCATAATCAGAATACAATTTGTAAAACTACTCATTCACTTGAATGACCACAACCTCAATGTACATAAGTTAGTACCGAAGACTTAAACGGTCACCAGACAGCTCCAACCAGTACACACAGTAGTAATCATTTGACAGATTAGTTAATCTGCTGCACATGAAAGTAAAATTAATAGGAAGAACAAATGATAAGAATGCTATAACCTTGTATCTTTAAAAGCTGAGTAGGTAGGTTTGAGACTGACACCTCCAACCAAGACAAAAAGCAAGGTTGTTAAGGCCAGCACAAAAAGCAGGCAGCTTTGGAGTGTTGGCATTTATTTGGGGTGATCAGTTTTGTACTGTATGTTTATGTTTGATTACATTTTCTTTCCTAAATGAGATTTAAAATGAATAACAATATAATATTTTTCAAAGATACAATATTAGTTTTCTTCAAAATCAAAGCAAAGTGACTGTGATAGGAAGACTATCTTGGCCATAGCTCAGAGGTTTTCCTTAAACAAACACAACAATTTATAGTTTCAAAAAGACTAATTAGAAAGGTAGCATTTGTGAATCATTAATCTTTATTAGCCATCAATATTTTCCACAGTATTTTTGGAATATATATGTTTCATGGAGATAGCCTAACCAGTATGGAAGTCATTATTTCATTGGCTGTATAAGTATTTAATAATTAGATTTTACATGTAGTTATTACTATGAAGTAAGGAAGTCTGGCTTCATGGAAGGAGTGAGAAGATGGCTAAATTTATAGATACTATTTTGTTTGCAGGGGATTTCCCTGGTTGTTTTTGTGGCTGGCAGACTTGATAGCTGTGTGAAGCTACTAAAAGTCACTGACCTTAGTTATTCCTTTCCCCAAAAACACATTCCAGGGCCTACTGAGAATATTCTCTGGTAAGAACACTACAGGTTATTTAATGTTGCAGGAATATACAGCCGTGGTGGGGGGAAAAAAATCACACTCATGCATTTAAGATGGTATTGCAGCAATAGGAATACAATGGATATAATAAATTGTAATAAACATTTCATACAGTGTCCCACAAAATGATTACTGGAAACAAATGCAAATTGACTTGTATAAAAGCATTATAACATGATTAAAATGTTAAGAAATGGATAACAATAAACAACAATGTATCATGTTGAGAAATGGCTATTGGACCATTGTATGCAGCAGTCTTAGGCCTGGTTTTATTTAACCTCTTTATCAGCAGTCCAGAAGAGGGGATAAGATGCAAATTAGTTAAATCTGCAGCTGTTGCAGACACTAGAGGGTGCAGCAACACAACACAACACAACATAAAGGGACCCTGAGAGATTAAAAAAGTAGGATGGAAATAACAAAGTGAAATACAACCTTGAAAAACACAAGCTAACAACCTTTGAGGAAATCTAATTCAAAGGGAGGGAGTTACTTAGAAAGCAGTAATGTCAAAAACAAACCGAAGGGTGATAGTAATAGCAAATTGCAAATCAATTTGTAATGAGATAGAGCAACAAAAGACACAATGAAATTTTGGACAAGATGAAAGAGAGTGTTTTCGGTACAGTGTTTGTAAAGACGCTGGGAGCCTAGTGGAAGACAGCTGGGAAGGCTTGTAAGCAAAACCAAAGCAATACAAATAGGAGGAAAGCAGTGGAAGGAGTTTGGGTTTTTTTTATTTTATTTTACATATGGACATAACAGTTATTACTAGGGATGCCTGAGAACATCATGTCCTTTCACAGTAACTTGCCATGTGGGGAATTTGTTGTCAAAATATGCTGTTTCATCAAAGCCAAAACGTTTTGCAAAGACCTGTCAGTTTTGATTAAGTTTTTGTTAAAAAGGTTTCTGAGCTCCAGGGTGGATTGTCCAGTCACTTCCAGAGAGAAAGAGAGAGAGACTGATGGAAAACTTGACCTTTTCAACCTGAAAACTGCTGTTTTATTTCATGAAAACATTTAAAAGGTTTTGATTTTATTCCAAAGGGAAACAAAATAAAAAAAATTGGTGGTGACTGGAGGACAACAATTCCATTTTGTGGTAATCTTTGAGGTTTCAACATTTGTTTTCTTTCTGCACCGCAACTGGCTGAAGATGAACCTGGGCAAGAGTGAGATGATGCTCAAGAGGGAAACACTTGGAAGATCTAACTCCCACTATCACCTTGCCCTTCATTGAAGGAGTCTGCCCTTAGATTATCAAATCTTTCCACGATTTAGGGAGGCTCCTATCCCACTGTAAAATGTTGCAGTTGCAATCAGTCCTCCTGCAAGTTTAACAAATAGTATATTGCTGAGAAGAGTGTTCTCCATAAAGTGTTGTTGTTTTTTGCATGGGCTTGCTTTAAGCCATGAAGATACATTTTCAGCCTCCTAACTATATACATGAAATTATAATCTATAACCTTACTATAACATTACTGTAACAATTACTATAACATCACTATAACAACCATGCTCAGTGCATTAAGAGCCTTCCGAAGACACCCAACATGACAAACTTTGCATTGGATACCACACAATCATTTTATAAAGATGAACATGGGTGTGTAGGGTGTTCCCCCGAGGTACAGAGCATCATGGTAAATTTATGCATTTTTTTAAAAAAATCCACCATTGGCCAGACACAAGATCCTGGATTAGATGGACCTTTGGTCTATACTGCTACAATTGTTAATTGTTCCTTTGAGGTGGGATACATCTTTGAGTTTTGCAGGAAAATTAGCATAGCTACAAGAAAGTTGCACTATTACATAAACTAGGTGTCACAGGGTGGCTGGCCCCTGTAAATGAAGTAGGTCCAGTTCCCTTGTGCCAGAACAAGTATTCCTTGTTTGGCCAATTGAGAGGGTGGGGCAGATGCTGTGGGCTATGAAGGATGAGGAAGAGACTCAACGAGAGGATGTCCCAGTGACTCAGAGCAGACTGGTTCAGTCAGGGGCAGGTGAGAGTTGCCAGAGAGCAGGGGACGGGAGGAGTCCCAGAAAGAAGCAGAAGGTGGTTCCTGCGAGAAGGCTGAAGGCAGCAAGAGCGAAGGGAACTGCCTGCTAGCTCTAAGCCAGAGCCAAGGGCCAGAGAGTTCTGAAGGCAGGGGAGCAGCAGAGGCGCATACCCGCTGACATTGCCAGATTTGGAGAGCGGGCCCATAGGAACTGTAAGAGAACCTGGGGGAGTAATGGATGCTCCCCAGGCAAGTTCCCACGGGAAAGAGCAGGGTTGCACTCCAGCTGGATGGCTGGGGTGGTTGTCATGGGACAAGGACAGGAGAGGACTGCACTGAAGAGCCAGGGCGTGGTGAGAGATGCCAAGGCGGTATGTTGCATGTATTGTTTGGCTTATACTGGGGGAATTCTGGACTATGGGACTTTCGTTATGACTTGTGTGCACAGGACTCTTGTAATAAATGAACCCAACAAGGACTATATTTATACTTGGGAAGATGCTTTGTACTATTTCTGGGGAATCTGAAGGAGGGAAACTGAGGCAGGCGCACTTATGCCGAAGCCTGCAGCAGGAGGGCATTCCAGGACGGGTGCCCAGTGACACTAGATAACGCTTTTCATCCAAAGAAGCTGCATTTGAAACAGGTTGGCAATTTCTTTTAGCCTCTCAGGAAAGCCATAATGCTTAGCTTTAGCCTATTAATAAATAATTTTTACAGCAGTGAAGACAAACTTGACTGTGAACCTAAACGATTTTGGAATGGTGGAGCTACATTTCACAAGTGTAAATCTTGTACCAGTCTTCCCTAAGAAAGTATAAAACTGTTCTGTTTCAAGTACCTTACATTTTCCAGGCCTACAAGCATGAAACACACATGCATGCTGTGCTCAAAAAAAAACCAAGACAGAAGCAGACAGCATTCTCTTTATTCTAATTATTGATTTTGTTCTGCGCTTCCTTCTCCACCTGA